AACAGAGGTTCGTAGACCATCCCGTAGATGCTATCCAAAACATCTTGTATCAGCACAGTTTCAATTTGACTAGCCTCAGCCTTAGGGTAACATTCCTAAAACTAAATAAAGACGTAAAATAGACTTTCGACTAATTTCGTGTCATGATTCCAGTCAGGGAGCATATACTTTTCAAATACTTAAAGACAACAGTTCCTCTCTTTCCTATCAAACTTGGCCCAAAATTGAACTTTAGTGCTGTCAAACACTGTAATGAAGTTGTTCTACGGATGGCCAACCCAACGCTATTGGATCAAAGCCGCACTGCGCTCAAACCCAACCGCATCAAGATTTTGCGACGCAGAGACACAAAAGAGAAAATAGCCGCCGTTATTTTATTTGTAGCCTGGGGGTCAGTGCAAACAAGAAAAGTTTTACGCCGAACATCACCGCAAGTCTGAGGCATAGTGATCCTCCATTAACACTACATAGGACATAAAACGCTCCAGGATTGCCGCAGTGATAACTGAGGCAGAACTTTATCTTTCTCACTAGAATTAAGTTGATTCCACCGTGCGATCTGGCTACGATGTGCGAATAATTGGATCGCAAAATCAGAAGGAAGGTAAAAAAGCCGTGAAAACTGAATATAGCTCCTACCCTTTGAGTATATAAGAATATAAAACATTATCGATGATTTTTAGATGTACTAAAACATCTTCAATGATCACCAAAGCAGTGATGTTAGACTGTGATACTGTCCGTTGTTATTCCTGCATCTGGCCTGGAAGCTTGCTTATTTTGACGCGCAAATTCGATTATTAAATCACAGTCTGACAACTTTGTCCTGATGCTTATTGATTGCAGTTTTTCCCTTTTTTTCTTTCTTTTTGGGTTAATGTCCCGTAACGCCGCACGATATCGACGATATCGCAACGAAATTCTTCGTAATAATGAATGAAGTAGCACTGAGGTCGTGTGAGAGAACCCCTTCAAAATTGTGGGTAATAACTCCCCCTATAAAGTCTCTACATTTAAGGAGGAAAAAGAAAAGTGGAAAAAAAGAGGAAAATAATTGTTGCATTTCATAAGCGTAAACAGGACGAGATCTTTTCGTCGGGAGATCGAACGCGACGCGCGCCGCAACGCGATGTTCGTAACAATACCCAGGGGCTTGCATGCAACTATTCGTCCTCTGCGGATGCGCGTGTTGCATGCGCTTGATTTGAAGGCACTCTGGCTTCTGTTCGCTTGCAGCGACACACGCGCCGCGCCGTGGTGAGTCTGTCATTGCGTCGAAAGACGTTGATCTGCTGAGTAAGGGATAAGTATCAGCGACGACCAAAAGAATATCGCCTCTAAATTCATATGGTTGAACTGTTTAAAATGGTAAAGTGATTAAGAAAATATTTGATTGGAGTAAGGAAGGACAAAGTGATTTGATTTTAAAATATTATTAAGTTTTAAGAGTGAATGCATTTTCATCATTTGCGATGAGAATATTTGTTAATATGACAAATATATAAGTCCTAAGGGATTATATTTGAAAATATTTCTCTTAAATGTCGATATAGTACGACCATGATATTTACAGTTTTGGTTTTCTTACAATCAGGGGCAGGTTCAGCAAGTTGCAAAATTGTTCACTATCCATTTAAACCTATTGAATGAATCGGTTCTTGGAGGGGCCAGGTGTTCTGACAAGAATCGAATATTCAACACAGGTTTAAATAAAGATAGAAAATGCTGTCAATTTGGATCCGCCAATGCTTTTGATTCATTATCAAAGGGTGCGATGATAATCAAGATAACTGTCAACGGTAATAACTGAGTCCTTTTGTCACATCATCGTAAGAAAGTTCAACTTCACACGTTTGCGATAATCTTGAGCGACGCTTTTTATCTTCTCGTGGTTGCCTCTTACTGTTGCCAAGCATTGTTGTCAGATGTTTTTCAATTTAAAATATGTGGCGAAAATCAAATTTCAAAATTCAAAATTCAGTAACAAAGGAATCAAGACATCATTGGTTTAGGATTATAGAAGTCAAACGAATTTTACGGTTAAACATCTTTTCAATTTTTGAAGATCGTCCCAAAATATATGAATTCTGTACATGATCTGGTGATCCTGCCGGCTACCAAGTCTTACGAAAGACAAAAGAGTGGAGCCACGCTCCTTTGAGTTTTGATTCCTAACTATTGCGGTTAACGCTTCAATTCCTCCGTTTGGCGTGATATATCTCTCTTTGAACACCTCCGACTTCCTTTTCTCGTCAGTTTTTCTTTTCCTTTTCTCTCTTGAAATATCTACTTCTAACACTTTCATCGGAACGGTGGGTGAGAAAATTTTAACAAACCCAACGCCATCAACTAACTTTGATCTCATGAAAGATTGTTCCCTTTGAAAAAATAAAGTAGGTAAATAGAGGAACTTCTCGGGCGGATATAATAGAGAATTTTCGAATTCCAAAATTCTAGAAGTGCTGAGTGAGTAAAAGAGACTAGTCTACATTTTTGCTGTCAGTTTGGGTGTCTCATGGTTCCTTTTGATTTATAATTCATTTGTGCATATAGCTCCTTTTAGCGCAAATACGGTGAAACGCTTTGTGTAAAGAAGTAATTGACGGAATTTGTATGCATAAGCAATTTAAAAAATCTGTAATTTCTTATAAAAACAAAAACAAATACAAAAAATGAGAAGCTTTTACCGTATTAGAGTCGATGCTACTAAATTTTATTTTTTCTTTCAAAAAAAAAAAAACGGTGGGAAAAGAATTCGTCGAGATTAACAACCTGCGAAAATTGACAGCAGAGCCAGCCATAAAACAATTTCATCCTTTTAGGTCTGCCACTACATTAGAAATAACGGTTACTATTGTGTTCTTAGTGTTTTGGACACTTCACTTCATTTCAAGATTTGTGTTACTAATAATTATCTGATCAAATTTTACCTTCTTTTCCCAAAATACTTTTGGAAAAATCGTGAAAAATAACCCTTGCATGCCTCACCACATTATATCAGTTCATTGCTGGAAAATTCAATTCTAGAACATTCCTTTGCTCTCCCAAACGTTTCATTCGGTATCGCAGTTGTGTATGTTTCTTGGCAACGAATAAAATTGGTTTTAACTGAAGGGTATGACCGCCGATTTGATTTTCTCCCGAATTATCAAGTAATACCTTTCAATAACGTGCGTTTTTTACGCATCAGCTGTATAACCTAGAAACCGTCTGTGTTCCATTCAAATTCGCCGTTTTCAGTGAAAAACTTGGCTTCCCCTTCCATGCAACTAACATCAGAGATTATAGAGAAGCTCATGGCACCACGGGTTTGTCTTACGAGTTCCGAGCGCAAACAGATATAACGCAACGGATGAAAATATATCCCGGACGCTTTTAAAGTTCGCAACGGATTAAAGTTGCTGAGTCGTAGGGGAAATTCATCACTAGCTCTTTTCAAAATAGTTCAAAAGCGAAATTAACAAACATTTTGGCAACATAGCAGCGAAAACCGGAGATAAATGTTGCCATATCCTCTGATCAAATGCATGTTTTTACATCCTCTCCTCTGCACTAAAAACAAATTCTCGGCGTTTTTACCAAGGTCCGTTGGTACCTTTACCATCTCACTTTTTTACCAATTATTGGTAATTTTACCAAGACAGACTGGTAAACTCACCTAAAAATCGGTATTTTTACTGTTTTTCTCAGGTAAGAATACCACTTTTATTGGTAATCAATTCCCGGTAACTTTGCCATTTTATCTCAGTAATTCTACCACAGTCGATAAAAAATATTGGTGTTTTTCCCGGGGTCCAGTAAAATTACCGAGAAAGTCAATCATTTTACCGAGATTTCTCAGTAAAATTACCAATTCCATAAATGGTAATTTTACCAAGAAAAAACTGAGATCAAGTAGAACCCTGAATTCTTGGTAATTTTATCCTTTTCTTAGTAAATACACCGAGATTTTTTTTTCAGTGCGGAGATACTCGAGGAATTGGCAACACTCGTAACGAAATGTTTAAACTTTTGCCCTCCCGCGGGAGGGAGAGGAGTGAAAAATTGCTCTTTTAAATTATGATCGCGGGTAAATCCTTAAAAATGGTCGGGAGCGCATTTGATACATTCCTCGGCGGCAACTTCGGTGGGCTTCTCTGCCGCTGTTTAGCTTGAATGATGCTCGCAATACGGAGGGATTTCTTCCGCAGTATCTGCATTCTGAGAGTCATTTACAAAAAGCATCACCCGGAGGATTCCCCTTTGCAATTGGGTCACGAGGAAAATTAGGAGAGGAATTTCACATCTGGTTAAACATCGATATGTTGCAGTTTGAACTCAAAAGAGGCAGGAGTAATTTTTTCGGTTGAAAATAGTTTGTTCGAGGCCAGGTATAAACAACTCGAACCGATTTTTTTATCAGGTTTAGGATTTTCCGAAAAGTAAGTTTTAACTCGTTTCAAGGTGATTCGACGGACGCAATTTTTTGTGTCAGAGGGACGAGCGATATACCGCATCGATTCGTTCCATAATTTCAGCTACTTGTCATTTTTTTCGAATTTTGAGATAGCACTTCTGTTGTCACGAGACTGAAGAATTCGTGTACCAAATTTGACAAAGAAATTGAACGTAATAAAAGTGTGTTTTCTTTAGAGGAAAAATATCGCATTCAATACTGTTATCGAAACTGGCTCTAATGGCCAGGTCCCCGTGTATCGAAAACAATCAATTATGTATCGAAAAAGTGACCCGGCGTGACACAGGAGTCTTCGAATTCGGGACCTGGAAAATGCTTAAAAGTGGCGCAAGCTCACCCATTAACATTACGACTCTATGTACTTTATGACTCCATCTAATCCTGTTTTCTTAAAAGAATTAAGAATACTTTACTTCATTGAAAGTTCATATTGAATTAATATTTGGTTACTATGTTTTGAAGGAGTGTCACGGCTTATGTTCTAACATTGCATCATTTGCAGTTGCAAGTTTTTTTCAATTGGTCTTTTATTTGTATGTTGCAGTAATTTAAAGTCGCGAACACAGAGTGCTTTGCGAGGCTCAAACGACAAGTCGGTTATTCTGGGAGACAAGAACAGCATGGCTGCTCGCTTTCAAATATTGAACCTTGTGCCTGAACAGCCTGCTCAATCCCTTGTCGACTCCAATGATACCGGTAAGTTGCAATTTGGAATTTCTTAAATCAATTCACTTGCATTTATCGCAAAGCTCTTCTTACTCTCGCATATCAATGCGGATTTAAATTGCGGAATGAAGGCTTCCATTTTCAATTTTTCCTCCAGATATTGCTGCCTCATAACCATGAGAGGTTACCAAAAAAAAAAAAAAGTTTCATATTCATGGAAAGAGAGAGAGACAATTTCAAACGTTAACGTGCCCAGAAAGAATTATTAATAGAATAATTTGCCCCCCCCCCTTTCCATGCAATTATGCATATAAATTAGTGAACTTTACTTTCATTGCCCATTCTTTGCATCAAAATAATTAAACTAAACTAACCGGATCAACTGAGTTGAGCAAAATCAAATAAGGAGATTAAATATAAAATGATGAGAAAAATTCGTCCTGTTGACTTCTTTCTCCATTCTTCTCTATTAGATTTAAGTAAAAAGTATAATTTTTCGGATACTTTCTCTCGATTGTCTTGTCGTGCTTTGAGCACCATATTGATGGCCAATTACCTCAATTGAACCACGCACCACGTATCTCAAACCAAACCACGTACCTCAATTGAATTGGGTTTCCTAGCAGAAACATTTTAAAGATGAAATTCACAAAATTCAAAACACCTGCAAATTCTCTGTTGCGTGGAAATCGATTCGATTGGTTGACATGCCGCATGCCGTATTTGTTACATCAGTTTACTTGAGTTAGGTTCCAACCTAAGAATACAACTATTTAAACTCTGGTGTGTTGCACAGTATCATGCGCAATTGAAGGCGTTTTATGTCGGCCCGACCGCAACCTACGTCATCGTAGATTGAGTGCTTTTCATTGCTCTTTTTCAGGTGAGACGAAGAAGTGGCGGGTGGTGGGAGAGATGGTGGGGGACTCGGACATCCGGTTGGACAGCCTGGTTTGGCCGGGTGGACAGCTCGTGCCCGACTCGACCGGGAAGGGAGCCAGGAGTGTGTTCAGGATCGTCACGGCGATAGCGCCCCCTTTCGTCATGGAAGGTGAACTAGATGAGGATGGCCAGTGTTTGAGAGGTAAGACACTTCCATTTAGTCAGGATCCTCTTTTCCTTTTAAAAATGGCTGTTTGTGCAATGGACCACTAGACAAGGTACGAATTTCAGCATTCTGATACATGCTTCTTAACCAAAATTTCAAGTAGAACACGACGCGCACAACGAAAATTACCGAAATTAACTCCTTACGAAGATATATTATGATTTCTGATGCGTGAATTCAAACCACCCGCTCATGAAAACTCAATGGTCGGCGTGATTTTACATCGCGCGCTAAACGTTATCATGTCACAGTCTCTGCGACATAAAATATATAGCAAATTGCTAATAGTTTGAACAACACTTGGTGAGAAATGAACATTGCTCGATTGAGAAGCTTGCATGAAACCGATGTAGTGCGCGATTTGACTCACGTAGAGCTTTGAGTTTCTTGTGAGCGGGCAGTTCAAATTCTTCGTAACCAATGTGAAATATCTAATATCCTAATATCTTCGTTTGGAGTTTGTTTCATTGGTTTCCGTTGCTCGAATCATGCTCTACGCGAAATTCTGGCTAAAAAAACATGTATTAGAATGCTTAAATTCGTACCTTGTCTAGAGGTCCATTGTGTTTTCATGTTCGAGACGTTATGGGAATCATTAAAACTCAGCTCTAGGCAAAGAAGCCAGTGGCGTGGCGTGAGTTGCGATGTATCGATTTTTTTGCCATTTAAACCTATGAAAAAGGATCGATAGACAGGGTGTTTGCAGCGAACACCTTAATAATCGATTCTTAACCATAGGTTTAGATGGCAGAACAATCGATACATCGCAACTCACGCTACGCTTCTGGAAGGAGCGTTACTCTATTCGAAAGTTGCGAAATGGACCATTATAATTCAATTTTTTACAGGAACATGACCGTGCAATTTCGGTTTAAAAATTTGCTGATTGTTGCGTGTGACCAGAAAACAAATCAGTGTTTACGGTTGGGATGAATTAAAAATCCGTACCCTTAAGTTCATCAAAAACGCATTTTCTTTTGTATCGAATAGTGCAGTGTACAAACTTCCATCATGAAATCAGAATTTACGTACCTTAAATCTCGGGATATAATAATTGAATATTGTGGAAAGATTTTCGTTCAATTTTATAACCTTGATTTTATGACTGTAACCTAGAGCCGATTCTAGAATATTGAAGTTGAAGTTGTTCCAGCTCCGGAATCGAATTAAGAACCGGGGACCGGTTGGAAATATGCTTCACGAGTTGGACCCGGGACCGAAGCAAATTCTCTGTTGCGTGGAAATCGATTCGATTGGTTGACATGCCGTATGGTAGATCAGTTTACCTGAGTTAGGTTCCACCCTAAGAATACAACTATTTAAACTCTGGTGTGTTGCACAGTATCATGCGCAATTGAAGGCGTTTTACGTTGGCCCGACCGCAACCTACGTCATCGTAGATTAAGTGCCGAATCTAGTTGTTCTAAAACTCAGTCCTAGTTCTTATTTCTGAGGCGAATTTTCTAGTTCAATCGATAGATCTGTGAGTCCCATCTAGTGGATTTGTATTATATCGAGAAGCGCATCCAGTGAATTCGCATTTTTTCTTGAACCCGATCTTAATTTCCAAGGTTTACTAAACGAATGGTTGGTGCAAATACGAGTAGACATAATGGGATTCATCAGAGCCTACAAATTATGAATTCATACCCTCACGCTCAAACTAGGTACTTTTTTTTCTATTGTTTCCCAATAAAATTTTAGTCTTGGAGATCAAAATACTCGATAAAATTATTTTGACCTCTGCGTCCCTCAAATTGCATAATCGATAGAATTGAGCAGATCTCCATTATTTGCAGATGGTTTCACTCGTTCAGACCAATCTGCGTTCTGTAGTAGATGAAAAAGCAGAATAAAAAAACAAAAAAGGAGGAAAACAAAGGAAGCATGATGTTTTCTAGTCTAGAGATGAGATTGATATTTTTCTCGTGATAAATTGGTGAAATTTAACAATTTATGCCATGACAGCACGAAAAACTTATCAACTCCCATTTCAAAATAATCACTCATTCCTCAGATCTGTGCAATCTTGGAGGAGCGTAAAAGCGCTTGTTATTGAGTCTGCCATAAATTGCATCAATATTGTTGCATAACTTACGCGGGCGAGTGAAGGAAGTTTAAGGTCTCTGTCAAATTGAGCAGAAATCGAAGCCAAGTTCCCGAAGCAAAATTCCGAGTCGGCACGAAGCGGCAACGTCAATATCCCAGAAGAATTTTGCAACTCAATTATACAGTAGGTCCCGGACTTAACTAGTTCACATTGTCTCTCGTATGAAATTTGCGATGGCTGTTTAATATAAAGGACAAAACTTTGGCCGTTAAGAAAATTGGAATCGATGGTTGGAAGCCTCGGAATTCTGCGTCTCGCCGGAGCACTGGCGAAGAATAATAAAATTCAAACATTCTTGGAAAACAATTTGGTGTTTTCTCTATTTATGTTTCAACTTGCGGAACCATTTAAGGACTGCCTCAGGATTTTTTTCTGATGCTGACTCGATGCATGCGTCTCTCCTCTCTCTCTTCCAAAAACTTAATCCGCTGTGCTATTTTGCCGTGCCTAGGAAAAACGCCGTATGGACCTTGAGGCGTTGCCAAATTTCCATTGATAAAACGCGAATTTCCTGGTAAATTTATGAATATTTCCCTTTCATTTTTTCAGATAATTTTGTTCGCAATTTCACCTAAAGATTCTGAAAATTTAAAGGACAAATATTCATAACTTTCCTAGAAAATAAACATTTTATCAAAAGAAAATTTGCCAACTCTCGAATGTTCATACGGCGTTCTTCCTTAGCACGGCAGTATTAAACATTAATGTCGACATCATTCAATGTTGCTTTTCTAAAAATATCCAACATTTTTCAAATGGCGATGATACGTCCGCAAATCGTACATTTCGGCAACAAAATTTCGAGGTTTGTCATGATAAATGCAATAATGTACACTAGGAGGACGTTCTTTGAGCACAAATGCTTGCTGTCAGACGTTGCCTTTAGGCTAACCAAAACGCCTGCAATTATGTGTGTATGCAACACAGACAACTCTAGAGTACGAATAGTCGTATCCAGGTTTCACATTAGAAAAGCCGTAGCGCCTCAAGGTTTTTCAGCTTATGATAACTAATACTCGTAAATATGTAACGTTGTCGTTGCCAGTTTTTTTGACCAGTCCAACATCATACAATTTGGCCTTAAGGTCTCATTACATAGTGACAAATTTCTTTAAAATATTAACCTTACAAGAAGGGCATTAGCATGAATTGCTTTGCCTTGAATTGCAATGATTTGGCACTAATTTTACATCAACAACCTCCACTCAAGTAAGATTTGCAGAATCACTCAACTATGTAATCTCTACTGTAACTATCGATCTCTGCAGAACGCAAAACTCCAAATGCGCGCGGTTCTGCAGTGATGCGGCAATGAGACAGTCTCAGGTTTCGTCTCTCCTCTGACGAAAGGGAGTACGTCGATTTCGTATGAACCCGGGAAAGCATGGATTCATATGTAAGATAGGGCTCACATGAAAATCGAGATACGCTTTTACGTGAGAGACAACGATTTCTGTTGCTTTTTACGGCTCCAAACTCCTTTTACCGTCGCCGCAAATACCCTTTTCAATTCTTTATCGTTCCTCCTGCCGCGCGCCCTGATTTTTATGTCCTCCCCCCCCTCCTCAAGCCCCCCGTCCAACGCGCCCCCAATTTTCGCTCGCTCTAAAACAACGACTGTTTTCGCTTGATTGCCTTCTGTGTATTCGCTCCGTTTGTACGAGGTGTTTTCCTGGAAATTGCGACCCGTTTTTACAACTTTTTCCCCGCAGCATCGGATTTTTTCTCCGACGTTGCCGGCAACTTGTCCTTCACATGTTGTCGCAAATCGACGTCTCGGGTATTCGATATGTATCGATTTACTCCCATTGGTAGCACGGAGAGTGGTAATATGTTATCGCATGGATCCAGTCTGATCAGAGGCAGATCCAGCAATTTGACAGCACCGGATTCCCTCCATTTAAATCCATGTTGAATAATCGATGTTTGTCGGAGCACCTGGCCCATCTAAGAATCGATACATTTTCGTAGCTTTAAATGGGGAAAAACAATGTTGCCAATTTGCTGGATCCGCCAATACGTTTAATACCTGACGCAGCGGAGAATCTCTGCATATAATGTCATGTTTAAAACCCGTCTTTTGAATCAAGGTAAATATAAAATGCGTATCTCCCTTGCAACGTTCGAAAGCTCCAATTATATTTAATTTTCTTAAAAGAAAACTATCCAAAATATCTTCTCAAAATAGTCTGTGGATATTTTTGAATGAATAAAAAAAATCCACGGAAAATCAAAGGAAAACTTTTGGTTGACTTGAACTTACGATTAGCGCAATGAAATGAGGAGCTTGGAGGACCGGCGCTTGCTCCCAAATTCCTATTTTTAAGCATCAAATTCAAAAAGTCAGGTAGCGCCTCGTCCTCCAAGCCCCTCAAACGTAAGCGAGAACATGCAATATTGCAATTAGAGACATGCATTTTTTTATCTTACAATTGTTAATGCTTATAGTGTCGAGTTAACGAAATGAAATTAAAAAAATACCATATGCAAACTGACTAGTCTTTCCACATATCGATGGGACGCACCTTTCTGATGATGGAATTTGTAGGCTGCAGTTCTCTTCAATTAAATAGTGAATTCCGTGTATAATGTGGAGCTGTCCGCTGTCGGTTTTCAGCTTTATGAGTTTTTTTTTGCGATGCCTTCCTACGAGATACAACCGTTTATCACTGATTTCCCTTGAATCTAAAATAGTTAAACATGAATCGGAAAGGATCGCTCCTGCCTTTTGATGGATAAGCAATTTGAATTACGTAGATGTTGACTTAGCTGCATCACCCAATTTAGGCTCTTAAGAAGGAGTTCAACAAGGGTTGGAAGGCGCATGTAGATGTGACTGGGTGAGAAAAAAAATTGAAAACCTTTT